ATTTTATTTATTATTAAATATATAATAATGATAATAATCTGTTTTGGAAGATTTTTATATACATGTAAAATATGTAAAATTGAACTATTAATTACAGAAAATCAACTATTGAACCACTTTATAAATATACAAAATGCTTTATTGAAATTTATGCTAACAAAAACTTTAAAAAGTTGAAAAGTATATGTTTTTGTAAATGTAGTGAAAAATTATTTGAGTCAAGTGAATTTAAATCATTGGAAAAACCAATTCTATTGGAAATTCTCAAAAGAAAAGATTTTCTGTTGGTGAGATGGTTATTTGGGAAACATTTTAAATGGGGAGTAGTAAAACACCCAGAAATCAATAATATCAATGTTGGAGATTGGTCATTATGAAATTTTGTTGAGCTTAACTAATGGTTTTCTGAATACTATGTCATTTATAAGTACTTCAAGGAAAAATGGTATAGACCACAAACCAGATTTCAAAATCATCATTGATTTGGAGATTGTGTTTGGACATTCAAATCATCATCAAAAGCCAATTCCTCGTTGGTTAATGTTGACCTATATAGTAGACCTTGCAATTACAATGAAAATTACATGGAGTTGAAACGATTTTGACTATTTGCAGAATGATAACTGGTCAATTCTTATATATAATAAAAAATACCAAATTTTGAAGAATTTTCTCTAATGAGCCAATCACAGTGCCATCAACCTTATACCAAGCTATTATCATCTATATAGTTTTCCATATTTTTTCTTCAAGCAAAAATTATTTGTAAGAAGTTTAACATCCACCCAAAGTTAAACCTATGCTCCAAAGTTTCTCAATCAAGGAAAGGATAGTGGTTATACCTCAAAGGTGAGGAGTTTGTGTCATTGATGGGTTGCTGTAGGCATGATTTAAAGCTTTATATTTGATGCTTTCCCTACATACTCCAAAGAAAGTTCTCACAGTATAAATAAACTCATCAAGTCTGGATGTTGATCATCCTAATTTGCTAGCAACACATCTTTGAATACATAGTAGTTTGATAATGAAAAATATAATCTAATATTATTATTTTATTTTTTATTTTTTATCAATTATTTGAAAAACTTCTAATTCATCAAATCTACTGCTATTTACTATATTGATGTTACTATAAGTTTTATTTGGGCGACTAATAACAGTAGCATCTGTACAAAAAAAAAAATCACAAGGAGTGCAACCAAAAACTGGCAAATAAGAAGAATGACACCAAATTGCGTGCTCATAATCATTATTAATAACATAACTGAATTGTGCAGTATTGATATAATTTCTATTACTAATATTAAAAATAAAACTTTCAGTTGTATTTTTATATACATAATTATTTCCATTCCAATTTAGTGGATTATAACCACCAACTATTTGCTCCGAGTTCTGTATTTTACCAACTGAAAGAGTTTTGTTGATATTATCACATTTTTGATGAAATGTATCTGCATCTAAACCATCTCTACTGCTTCGATATAGGAGTTTGAATTCATATTTGATTACCCTGAATGAAGTGTATGGTGGACTTTTTCTATCAATCCAACTTGCAAAAAGCAATGTAAGATTTTGATTGATTGTC